AATGGGATACAACACCACTTAAATAAAAAGAAGCTTCAAAATGAAATAAAATGGTAACGAAAAAACTCGATCATAAACGGAACACACAAACTATTCTCTTTCTTATTTCCAGATGCTTTCACAGCTGCAGCATGTTGTTCAACAGCCTTCTTCTCTTCCCGAGTCTCCTCACCAAACAAAATAAGCTGTTCATAGAATCCAAGAAGTTGCTTAATGCTTCTACTTTGTGCCCTTTAAGCTTAATCCATAGACTATTAACTTATTCCTGCACGACTCGAACAACTCAAGCATGGCAAGCAAAAACAACATCTCTTACTTCGGCAAGTATTTCATGCTCTCTAGAAGCACCTGCCTTGATTACCGCAGCTAAAACCTGCCACATTACATATCACATGGTTTTGAGGAAAGATAAAGTTAATGAAATAAGATAGGTATGAACCAAGTATATAATGATAGCTATGAAAAAAGAATCCAGAGTGAGAGAAAAAGTCGAGTCTAGCCATATTGGTTTATTTCACGCGTTTAGACATTAGACAATCGTCAAGAAAGGTATATTGTCAGATACCCAAAAAACACTTCTCACTAAATCTGGGAAATGAAGACCAAAAATATAACATGGGCAATCACACCTGTCTAAAGCAACCTAGGATACAGTTATTTGCTACAAAGAGCACTCAGAATCACAATATATTTCTTCTAGTCTGCCTTAATAGGTTCTTCTACTTGTAAGCTACCCGATTTAATGAAACTCAAATTCACCCAACTTACCAAGTCATGAAATTTTTTGTCCATTGGTCTAAATGGATTGAAGCAGCATTTATTTTAGTTTAATTTTTGTAGATTTCCAGTAGTTCTACATATTAATTCATGGCATATATTGGGTAAGGTCAGGAAGAAAATAAATGCATATATAAGAACAAGCTATGCACATAAAATACAACCACCATCGAAGGGATAACACACCATAATACAAATTGAATGTCGATCACTATTGACAACAGAGCATCACAATAGCATCTAAAAAACTAACAGATTTCAAATGACTGAAATAGTTCTAAAAAATTGAATTGTCGACCACTGTTCATAACAGAGCGTCACAATAGCATCTAAAAAACTAACAGATTCCAAATGACTGAAATAGTTCTATATCTAAATGCATGAAGAAATGAATGAACATTCATACCAGCATCAAAAGCTTGTTAGCCCCATCTGAAATGGCAGCAAGACTGTCGTATTGTTCTGGATCAAAATCATTAAGGGCAGAAGTAAGATATTCACCAGCTGGGGTCGTTTTCACCCTCTCAGGACCAGATTTAACCAAAGCAACTGTGCCCTCTATCTCACCAGAAGGTCCTTTAACGTTAGTACTATCAGTCCTGTCAAGAAAAATCGAAGACCATTCTTAACCATAAATGAAGTAAAATATGGAAAAACGTGATAAGAATTAGTTATTGGGAAACAGTAACAGAAATTAACCTTCCCACTTCTCGAGACTGAATAGCTTGTCCTTTGAAAGATGGACTTGACACCTAAGAGTAAAGGTCATGCAAGTGAGATGCACAGGTACCAAATCTAAATTTGAAACTCAAACCACAAACACTAAACTAATATGTATAGTAAGATAGCATACAGATATAAACATTTGCAATAGAGAAACAAAGACCAGACCCAAGTTAACAACTGTCATAACCCGCAACAGATATTCAAAAAGATCAATAATGAACCTAAGGTGTTCCAGCTAATGAAGCTTTTTCTGTCAATCTGTCAAATAATGAACCCAAGTTAACAACTCAAAAATGTATAGACACTTAACATAATACTAGTTCTATTATTTAGCCCCTGTTTGACATCATTTACTTTACTTCAATTTATTTCTGCACATAAATAGACACTACAGAACTCCAAGAAACCATATCTCTCACTGACATTTCTTCAAATATTTTCCTAGCATTATATAAACACCCCATTTCACCATACAACTACAGAAATAGGCTAGTGATGTAAAAAGGGGTCAGGACCAGGTATCTAACAATATGTATCACTCATGCTAAATACTAATAATTCCTAAAATTTCATATACTAGTGTGATATCCAGAAAGTCGAGGCTCAATACCAATCACCTCCCAGTGGCTAAAAATTTGCATTATCTTTAGCCTCTCCACTGGCAATCTATTGTGCTCACCATTCCTGCAATTAAACTGAAGTTAAGGAAAAAGATGGAAAAGCATTACTCATCAGTACACCAACCAATTGACACTTCCACACAAATCACCAATATATTTCGAAATTTGAAATTCCATAATCAAATAATGATTGAACTTTAGGCAAAGCAAAGCAAAACTGACCTTTGGACTAGCAGTGGGCGATGGGCAGAGTGGCGGTGGCAAAAGTGGCGGACTGGCGGCAAGGACGGACCAGGTTGAATCGCGGAGGCTAAATCGAACTATGAGGCTGAATCGAGGAGGCTGAATAGCAGCCGCAGGCAGTGGAAACGCAGGTTGGAGGGTTTTTGCAAAAGGGGTATCAAATTCCAAGTTCCTCACAGTAGAGGATTTTGTAGGAGGAAGAAACGGGATTGTGGAGTGTCAATTCCAAGTTCCTCACAGTAGATGCACGCCGGATTGGAATCCGAGGGCGGGAGAGGAATGAATGGAAGGAGTGTTAGGGAATGGAAGGAGTGTTAGGGTTTGGGTTATTTTTTATTTCTATCATTTGTGCCTGTATATAATTTAATTTGGGAAAAAGGTACAAAACTTTTCGCAACGTTCAAAAAACGTTGCAAAAATAAAACATTTCGCAACGTTTGATAACCGTTGCGAAAAGTCTTACATTTCGCAACGTTTGATAAACGTTGCTAAAGGTAAAACATTTCGCAACACTCAATAAACGTTGCTAAAGGTATCTACCGCAACATTTTTCTAATAAACATTGCCGAAACTCATTTATTAACACCAATAGCAACATTCACTTACTAAAATAATGTCAAAAGACCCTTTTGGCACAAATGTTGCATTTTTAATGCTGCAAATGACTATTTTTGTTGGAGTGAAAGAACTTATTTAACTGCCAAAAAATGAAAAAAATAATTAACATTTCCCAATAGATTACGAAAAACTCTAACAAGTATTTGCATTCAAACAGTAGAGATTACTGATTGTTCAAATAAACAGACAGCTGTTAGAGTATTCAATTCTTGACTATCCCTATTCAGCAGTTCTACTGTCAATTTTATCATGTACGGCCTTTCGACCCGCTGAAACTACATGATATATCCAAGTTGTTTGAGATATATATGCTACTGGAGGAATTTTACACACTGTTATATATCCAAAAAGCTTAAACAACACTGCACAATGATTGCACATTGTTTGCACAACTTCTGCCTAATGAGGGTAGCGAGCACGGTAAAATTGGAAGTCAGGGAGACCAACACAAAAATGCTGAAGTCAAGATTCAGCATCTTGCCAAAGTGAACCTTCTTGCTCGCATTCATGTGGTTCAAGAGGACTCAGAACTGAACCTCTCAACTTGAATGAAGCAAGGCTGAAACTGGCAAGGAAATCTTCGAAGATGAATCAACAATGCTACGGTCTTGCTATAATTCAAAGCTTGCATTGACAGGGAATGAAAGGTCAAAACGATACCTCCAGATCCCCTAGAATCGGTGCGGCAGGTATTTTTCATAAATTGGATATCTGCACCAGATTTTTATATCCAAAAGAAGATAAAGCTAGAGTCTTGAACATTCCAATCACAATGTAAGTATATTGTATAAACTTGCAGGTAAAAAGCATACCAAGCAGGTAGAAATCCAGCTAGCTTGAAGGAGATCACAGCTCCTGCACCGTTTCAGATCAAACTGGGATGTGAGAGCTACAAGCTGTATTTAAAAGGACGATATTCAACCATGATCCTTTTTTGGGATGTAAAAGAGGGAGAAATAAATTCAATATTCCAAACTCCAAGTAGATCTTCCTGCTCACCCAATGGTTTATGACACCACGACTTTTCTCGTTCCAAATACTCCTATTTGCAAAAAAAGGTTGAAAAGTCATGTTCTTGATGACATGCAATATTAGTTCAGTTAATTTACCAAAGGGCCATCACGGCAGGCACTTGATTGCCATTCAGTAAATTATCATTGTTCACCCACATAAGATTCATATACTTCCATTTTTCTCCTATGGATTGCTTCTTCTTCTTCTAGATTTGTTGGTACTAATATGATTATCTTGTGCGGTCTTCCTTTCACCATGAATTTTTGTACGAACCGTAATAATGAAAAAACGTGCACAATAACATCACAAATTATGAACATGTGCTCATTTTTGTTTGGCTCAGGAAACCTGGTGAGGTGAATTTAATATTGAACATGTGCTCATCCAGATCACCTGGATGTCTCGTTTTGGAGTATTTGGAAAGAGAGAAAAGTCATGGTTTAGTAAACCTTTGAGTGAGCAGGTAGATCTATTTGGAGTTTGAAATATTGAATTAATAATTGTCCATTTGTTTTATGTCCCGAAAAGGATCATTGGTTAAATATCTACCCTTTCAATGCAGCTTGAAGCTCTCACATCCAGTTTGATCCGAAACGGTGGAAGAGCTGTGATCTGGATTTCTGTGGCCTGGTATGCTTTTTTACTTGCAAATTTATACAATATACTTACATAGTGATTAGAATGTTAGAGACTCTTGCTTTATCTTCCCTTCTGTTAAAAAATTTGGCGCAGGTAACCAATTTATAAATACCTATCGGCCGGATGCTCGGTGATCTGAATGCATCGTTTTTGACCTTCTCATTCCCTCTGAATGCAAGCTGTGAATTCTCGCAAGGACTGCGGTATTGCTGATTCATCTTCGAAGAATTCTGTGCCAGTCTTCAACCTTGCTGTATTGAAGTTATGAGGTTCATTTCTGGATCCTCGTGTGTTTAGAATTCTATACCACTTAGAGCAGTAAAATCATACAAAAAATATACACACAAAATAACACGCAATATTTATAGAGGTTCGCCCCATACTATGTCCTCGTCCGGCAATTGCAGTAATTCACTATGATGAAAAGAAGTTTAGAAACAAAAAGCTCCAACCCTATTTTCCTTTCATGTAACCTTTTTTTTGATGATGATAAAACAACTTGCATGCTGACTTCATGTAGCAGCAATAATTAGGCTCAACTTAACATCCTAAACCACATGAATCCAAGCAAGAAGGTTGGCTTTGGCAAGCTGGTGAATCTTGGCTTCAGCATTTGTGTGGTCTACCCGAATTCCAATTTTACCGTGCTCACTACCCTGGACAGAGATGATGGGGGGCCGAGAAGTTTCTTCATCTGCCAAAATCTACTTACAGTGGGCGGAAGTGTGCAAACTTTGTGCAGTGCTGTTTGAGTGTTTTGGATATATAAAAATGTAGCTTTTGAGCAAACCTATGTAAAAATGTAGCTTTTGAGCAATCTTTTAAGTAGGCCCAATTTTGTTTCTAAAATGTGACTCGATTAAGAAAAATAGCATTGTCAATGTGTCTGATTCAAGCACAATAACACTAAAAATTAAGAACATTAGTCAATGCATCATAAAATTTTGCGGTTCACCAAAATAATTTGATCATCAGTAGTAAAGAGGTGCCAAAGCTCCACGATGGGACTTCAATTGGACGCCTAATGGGAGAAAATAAAAAAATCTCTCTGAGGAGAGAAGGTATAACAAGCTTCAATCAAATGGAGAAAATATCTAACTTTAAATAGATGGCATGAAATGCCGTTTTGCTAATGGCCCAATTCCCAAAAGAAAAATGAAAATAGAGGATGAGGTGAGAACACAAGGGAAAAAAATATCGACAAAGCTTATGCGAGACTCTTTTAATGATATAGCGATCAATATATGACATATTCCAGTAGGAGCTACCCACAATGTTGACGATAAGTATTAGAATCTATAATCGTTGAATTTTTTTTGTCGAACTTCAAATTCCAACACATTTTATCTTGAAGAAATTTCTCCCGTATGACATGAGGAAATGAATTGTTTCCACATATTTTTAATTTCTTAATAATGTCCATTTTTTTTTTTAACAAATGTGCGCTTCTCTCTTCAAGAGTTCTCCCAAATTCTCTCTTCTCCTTTGTACAAATTTTGAACAATCTAAGCATTCTCATCACTTTGCAAAATTAAAGAGAATTTCTAGACCATACACCCTCACTCTTCTTTATGCACGAATTTGGAACATCTAGAAGGCAGACCCGAGATCGTATTTTAGCGTGGGCTAAAACTTAGTAAAAGTAAGAAAACATAAAGGCTAATGCTATTTGTACATTATTGTTTACATAATAGTGTACAGATAGATGACATGGAACACCATTATGTACACAATGATGTAAAAATAGAATTATTCAATCACTAAAACTTATGTGACGAGGAAGAATAAACTTTAACCGCCAAAAAATGAAAAGTATAATCAAGCCTCCGTTTGGCAAAATTCATAATTGTTTATAGATAGGAATAATAAGAGGAAAAATGTTGGATCCTACTAAATGCATAGATAGTAATTAATAATAGTTGTGAATGTATGAATGAAATTAATGTTTGATGTTGACTAAATTTTAAAACCAACTCATAAATTGTATCCAAATGGAGGCTAACATTTCCCGATGGCTTATGAAATAATCTACCAAAATGGGTTTGTGTGTGCATTCAAACAGTAGAGTTTACAAATTGTTCAAATAAAACACTATCACAGACAACTATGGAGTATCTAATTCTTGACTTCACCTATTCAGCAATTCTACTGTTAATTTATCATGTAAGCCAATCTAATTGTTAAAGCGACATGATATATCCAATTGTTTTGAAATATATATGCTATTGGAATAATTTTACAACTATACATCCAAAAAGCTTAAACAACACTGCACAATCTTCGCACAATCTTTGCACACTATAAGGAGATTTGGGCATATCAAGAACCTTCCAACCCCATCATCTCTGTCGAGGGTAGCAAGCACAGTAAAATTGGAAGTCATGGAGACCAACACGCAAATGCTGAAGCCAAGATTCGGCAGCTCGCAAAGCGAACCTTCTTGCTTGCATTCATGTGGTTCACGAGGACTCAGAATTGAACCTCTCAGCTTGAATGAAGCAGGCCGAAGACTGGCAAGGAAATCTTCGAAGATGAATCAATAGTGCCATGGTCCTTGCTTGCAGTCACAGCTTGCATTGACAGCTCAAAAACGTGCGCCTTCAGATCCCCTAGCACCGGTCCAACAAGTATTCTATAAATTGGATACCTAAACCAGATTTTGTTTACCCAAAGAGAAGATAAAGCAAGAGGAAATGGTCTAGAACATTCTAATCACAATATAAGCATAAGTTGTAAGTTTGCAAGTAAAAAGCATACACCAAGTTACAGAAATCCAGCTAGCTGGAAGGATTTCACAACTCCGGCACCGTTTCATATCAAACTTGGATACGAGAGCTTCATGCTGCATTTTTTGAGCACATGTTCAATAACAAACTCTTCTAACGAAGTTTCCTGAGCCAAATAAAAAACGAGCGCATGTTCAAGTTTTACAAAGTTCAAAGTGTAATGCATTTTGGAATGCAAAAGCTGGAGACATAATCCATAGAACAATAATGACCCACAGAGGAACTTTCTTCCAGTTTTGGTCTGTAAATCGAATATATTTTACAATCTCCTAATCACAAAGGAGATGGGGTGTTCAAAGAAACAATGTGAACATGTAAGTAATAACTAAGTTCTATGGTATTACATACAGAGGTCACAATTTGATATGGACATGTAAATAACAATGAAGATTCCCTTAAAACTTAACGAATTTACAGAATTTGTTAAAAATTTTCTTAACAAATTACGACTTTTCAGAAATTTCCTTCATAAATCTCACTAAACTGACTGAAAATGGGAACAAATTCTTTCATAGATTTCTTAAAACCGCTACAAACGACCTTACAAAAATTACATTTTTTATAGATCTTTTAAAACAACTCCGAACTATCAACTTTCTAGAAATCAACACTTATAAATCTTTTCAAAAGCCACAAATTTGAAGATCTTTTATTTTTTTAATTAAATTTTTTCGAAAATACCTTGAATAATCAAAGTTCAAGAACTCTTTTTTTATGGATCTTTCAACAAGAACTACATTGCACAAACAATTCTGGTATGAGGATTCCTTTTCCTTGGAGCATTTTAATTCAATTTCCCATTGGCAAAAACACACATGCAACCTCATTAAATTCCAAATTCCATTTTTGTATGCAATCCTGGCTAACACACAAAATTCAAAGAAAACAAATAAGCAGAATTAATTTTTGGAAACTTGAATTTGGCTCGTTTTAATTTAAAAATGAAGAAATAGATGTTCATAATTTGAATATAGTGTTGGGAAAAAGCAAAAGGAAATTAGAAATAATGCTGGAATCATATCAATAAAATAATGAAAAGAGGTATTAAAACAAACAGGTAAGTGGTAACAATAAAATACATGAATTACGGTTGATGTACTCACACTTCTATCACCAAGTTAGAAAGAAAATTATCCAAGCTATTAAGAATAAGACTCTTGATAGCAAAGACAGAAGAGAGAAAATTAGAAAGGAGAGACGGCTTTTAAAGTTTGGTGTATGGAATAAGAAAGAGAACACCTTCTTATAAAGTATTAGGATGAAATGGGGTTTATTGACATAAAAATGTTACAATGATCATTAGGGCTTTGCAACCACCAATTCAATGGAAAAATTAATTAAGGAATTGCGATATATATATATTAAAAGTGGCTATATAACGGAATTTCTTGTTTTTAACGAAAAAACTAACGGAATTTGTTGTTTTAACGGACAGCTGCACCTTCTTTCAGTGTTTTTATCATAACTTTGTATTCGGATATCCGGTTCAGGCAATTCAAAATCCGTTGGAAATCTAACTCATGTGGGTAAAGCTTTGTTTCAGACATCATTTTCCAATTAGACCATTTACTA